ATATATATATACAAAATATCCAAAACTTAAATATAATAGATTGACCATTCAGGTATTAAATTATATATTTCAACCACCCAAAAATTAAGGTGTAACGGGTTGACCACTCGCTGTTTCAAAAGAAAATAAAGTATGGAGTGGTTGAAATGTAATATTTTATATTTAGATGGCGAAAATATAACATTTAGTGCCCTTTTGGGGAAGCTTATTTAGGTGCGGCAGCGTTTTCAAAACGCCGCCTTGGTGTTTGTTTATTTGGAAGGGCGTTTTTAAAACGATGATAATCGCGTACATTTTCTCCTCCTACACATCACACGCGGGGGCAACTATTGCGTTCGGCGTTTGTTAGGGTTATATTCCTCTCGTGCCCCTGCCATATCTCTCTCGCGCTCTCCCTCGCCATCTCCTTTTCCGATCTTCTCCTTCTTAAACATCGACTCTTCTAGTGAGATTTCGATCTTCTGTGGTTGGTTTTTTCATTCTTCGATCTGGCCTATATTCGATTAACTTCACTTTCTTTGCAAGAAATGGTTTTCTTTACGATTGTCTTTATGATGCCTTTGTTGGATTAGGGTTGAAAAGCGTTGATGGAAATGGGGGAAATTTTGGTTTTCTTAAATTCTTTCGTGAGTTTTTTCAAAGACAAATGGATCTGAGATTTTCTCGTGAGTTTTTTCTGAGTTTTTTTTTTTTGTTTTTGAGGGTTTTCTTGAGAAATGCAAATGAGCAATGGGGGAAATTTTAGTTCGCAATGTGGGAATTTTTGTTCTTCCCTTCCTTGTTCCTTTATGCATTACGATGCCTTCGCTGGATTAGAGTTGAAAAAATGTTGATGGAAATGGATCTGAGATTTTCTCGTGAGTTTTTTCTGCGTTTTTTTTTTAGGGCTCTCTTGAGAAATGCAGTTGAGAGATGCAGATTAGCAATGGGGGAAATTTTAGTTCGCAATGTGGGAATCTTTGTTCTTCCCTTCTCTGTTCCTTTATGCAAAATTTTGGTTTGAAAAGTGAGAATCGTATAATACTGTTGGAATGCGCTTCAATGCGTCCCTTTTATATTGTTCTTGAAGGAATGCAATGGGAATCGTTACATTGTTGAAATTGTTTGATAAGCCTTTTATATTATTCTTGAAGGAATGAATGCAGGGGGAATCATTATACAGTTCAAACTGCTGTATTTTTTTAGCTGCACCTGTTATATTGTTTAGCTCATTTCGAACTGCTGAAATTTTTTAGCTGCACCTGTTGGAATTGGAATTGTTCATCAATTGATAAGCCATTTTAGCTTTGAGAGGCAGTGCTACGGTTGCGCTAAGGGTGTTTCTGCTCGTTGCAGCTTCTTCTGGTGGGCTGACAGTCCCACATATTACACTGTCAGCAGTCATGAGAATCTGATGTTTAGGTTGATAGTGCAGATGAGGGCAGACGTAGCCAGAGTTTGAAAGTAAATATTTTAATATTTCTCATTGTAGTTATATTTGTCTTTGTACTGTTTTTATTTCTTCTGGTACTCACGAGAGTGTGAGAACTGTATGTCATCTTTTGGAACTGATCTGTGATGGTGGTATGTTTTTGCACTATATGCTTTTGTTCTACCAATAAGCTATTCTGAATAAGCTGCCCTAAATATTTTTATCCGACAGATGCAGGAATGTCATTTAACCACCAATAAAGTAATCTGAATAAGCTGCCACAAACAACAAGCTAGATTATTCTGATAATCTGCAGATTATCAGATTATCCGAATAATCGTTTATCAACAAATTATAAATAATCAATAGCTGCGCCAAATAGACCCTTAAAGTTTTTTTTATAATTGGCATGTCCCTTTTTTAAATTAGCATATAATTAAATAAATAGATTAAAAATAGTCGCCCATGAGTGTAAAAGAAATGTATGAGTTTGCACTAAAATAAATGTGGCGGTCGAGCTTTAGGGTCCGTTTGGGGCAGCCGTGTGGGGCAGCTTGTGCGTTTCAGGATAAGTTGCTTATCCTGAAATGCGGCCCGCGGGCCAATTGTAGGGGTCGATCTGCAGCCTGCGTTTAGTGTAAAAACCCAAACGCAATTTTGGATAAGCTAGCAAAACGCGCGAGCAAAACGCCCGAACCAAACGGTACGGCGGCGTAAAATGCCGCCCGCACTTATAAGCTGCCCCAAACAGACCCTAATAAAGTTTATAGCTAGTTACGAGTACAAAAATGTCTAGTTGTGGGGCAAGTAATTTATAAATGTCTTGAAAATTAATGTCAGTTTACTGGCATAAGAAGCCCCCAAACAGACCCTAATAAAGTTTATAGCTAGTTAAGAGTACAAAAATGTCTAGTTGTGGGGTCAAGTAATTTATAAATGTCTTGAAAATTATTGTCAGTTTACTGGCATAAGAAATTATACATAGCTATTATTATAAAAATGAATAAATTATGCACACTTCCCGTCCTTTTGCTCATAATTGCAAATTCATTAAGAAATTTACGTTCCTAGTTTTCCACCTTCCCTCATAATTTTTCATATAATTGAAATTATGACGGATCATTTTTGAGAGAAAATATTACATGTTGAATACAGACGTTACTCTATGTCTGGACTCCAATTTAAAATTAGATTATTTATATATTTTATTCACTATAACATAGTTGTAAGATTCTAAAAAATGTGATTTGAATATAAGGGTTCATAGTATGACATAAACATTCAGTTGTACTGAAATAAAACTTAGATACAATCGTGTTGTACTGAACAAAATATATAAACAATCCTTAAATCCAATATAACGAGGCAAAAAAGTTCTAAAATATATGATTTGAAATTAAGGGTTCATAGCTTGACTTAAACACACTGTTGTACTGGAAAAAAACTCTCAGATACAACTGTGTTGTACTGAACAAAACATATAGATAACCTTTAACTCTGCTATAACGAGAACAGAAATTGTTCTAAAATAAATGATTTGAAAATCAATATCCTAAAACACGTGTTCAGTACAACTCTCAGATACAATCGTGTTGTCCCTAAATATATTAACCTTTATTTTGTTCAGTACAACACAATTGTAGTTGAGATTTTTCTTCAATACAACTATGTTTTATACCATGTTATGAACCATTACATTCAAATCATGTACTCTAGAGTCGTTTTGGTCCTTGTTATAGAGAATTTAAAAATTATTTATATGTTTTGTTCAGTATAACAATGTTATATTTGGGTTTTCTCTTCAGTTTATGACATGCTTTGAACCATTAAATTCAAATCATGTATTTTAGAACCATATATTTGTGTTGTAGTGAATAAAATATGTAAATAATCCAATTTTAGATAGGAGTCCGGACGTGGAGTAACGTCCTTACTCTGCACGTAATATTTAGAAAAGGTGACGCATAGTGCAAAATATTTCTTATGTGCTTGCTCATTATGTAACTGATGATTTAGAAACTAATAAGAAATTAGTTGTTCTACCAAACAAGTGCGAGTTTTCTACTTCCTTGAAAGTCGTGAATATTTTTAAGAAAATAAAGTATGTTGATCATTACTTATGGTGATATGTATTTATAAGTCCTTAATAAATTTTATTATTCGACATGGATCACGAGGCGTGACATGAATCATGGGTAATTTTTTAATAAATGACATTCAAATTTAAATTAAAAATCATCCGGAACTTTGGTTTCAGTAAACTTAGTCACATTGACTTGCTCGATGAGACGAATACAATGACACCAAAATTAGTTCAATCCGAGTCAAATAAAACCAAAATCAAGCCGTTAAGTCATTTTCAGAAGCTTCTAGTGTCCAATTTCAGGGTCAAATAGATTTCAAATTTGACAAGCTTATATTTAAATCGAGCATCTTAACCAGACAAATCCAACGAGTCAAATATCAACCAAGTTCGACATCCTTGAAGCATTCAAATGTCCATAAAACATTGATATATCAAAGGGATTTCCCTGAGCCATCTGCTGGGGTGATCCAAAATGTTTCCTTATTTGTTGGGGGCCTCTTTCTAGATTTTATAAATAGTGTCCTACTCTATTCATGAAGGAGGACCTAGAGCTGAGCCTTAATGACTGAGAGGAGTGTTGTTTTTGTACCAAAGACCCAACAAACTCTTCTGGCACCTGCAATCCTCCGTCCATTATAGAGCACCGTGTTGTTTTTGTACCAAAGACCCAACAAACTCTTCCGGCACCTGCAATCCTCGACCCCAATGGACCACCACTCTCCGTCCATCGTAGAGCACTGTCGGCTGACCTTGACTCATTGTAACGAAACTACTTATGAAATCACAAAGTACGCTGCAAAATATCAGTGTACATTGTGTAGGTTCGAAATATCCTATGGAACAACACATCTCAAAGACAGGGCAATGACACATCCTGAAGAAGATGTAACAACTCATCCTGAAGACAGTGTAACAACACAATCCAATGATGGTATAATGACGCGTTGCAAAGAGTGTGCAACAACAGACCCTAATGAGGATGCAAAGACACACAGTGAAGGTGGTGCAACAACATATCCCGAAGTTGGTGTAACAAATCATCCCAGATATTGTGTAACTCCTCATAATAATTGCTTACGACCGATGTACTATGAATATGATGACCTTCTTTAGACTCCTGAATTTCTCTCATCGCATGTCACAACTACGACCTATGTGACTAACTATGCTTTATGTGGTCTATAATTTATGCAACTCACAACTCCAGTGTTTGTGACTAAAGGACGTTATCACAACTCGTGCAACTCCCAACTTCGATCTTCGTGGCCTATGAAACTTATCAAAGCTCGTGCAGCTCCCAACTCTGGCCTCTGCAACATACGAATGTTGTCACAACTCATATAACTCCCAACTTCAACCACTATGACCTACATATATTATCATAGCTCACACAACTTCTAAATTCTACCTCACGTACTTTAGAAGTTATCACAGTTCATCCAGCTCTCAACTCCAGTTTTTGTGGCCTACAAATATTATCACAGCTCATACAGCTCCCAACTCCGGTCCCTGCACCCTATATACTTTATCACATCTCATTTAGCTCTCAACTCCGGCTTCTATGGCCTCACATAGCTCCCAACTTTTGCCTCACGACCAACGTACATTATTGAATCTTCCTGTTATGGCCTCTTTGGCCAACCAACGCTCATAAAACAATCACCTACCACTATCATGATTTTCAACAACGTCATCCACAACAAGCTGACATCACAACCATCATTTATAACATTCATGACAAACTACTGCCTCCAAAGCAATCGACTAAAACCCTCACAACCTACTATTGCCATTATCACCAAGAACTACCAATGAATTACGATTATTATTGATGAATTGTTGGTGTATATCAACGATGATCAACTTTGTAACTCTAATTCAGGAGAAAAAGTGAATCTATGTACTTACAATTACAATCACGTCATAGATTATTTCAACCGAGCTAGATCCCGTGTGATTTTTCTCCTTTCAAGGGCTTTTCACGTAATAATTGAAGCGTCTCCACCTGTTTACTTCACTTATTTATTTGAGTGTGTGTTGAATTCTCATATAATGCTAAAATGACAAATATTCATACTAACATTGTGATAATAATTAATATATATACTATTATTATTTTTCACAATTATTATAATGTTTTTTTAAAATAAAATCATATAACAATTAATGGGTAAATAAATAAGAATCGTTGAAAACCACGAAATCATCTCCAATCGAATTAGATCCGACTCAGAACCCTAAACGTGGCTGATTTGTGCACTTAGTAATTCCTTTCAAGTTTTGACAATCCTAAAGTTCTCAAGGGCTAAATGGGAACGTACGTAGAACCCTTAAAAATGTAAATTTAAATTTTCTTTAAATCAAATAATTAACATTTTACAAATGTAGTAGCATTAGACAGTAGATATCAACAAACCAATACTTCAACTTTCTTTCAATCAATATATTTAACTGCGGTGTGTTAGGTATGGCTTATATCTAGGGAGTTGGAGTTTCTTGTGAAGAGGTGATCAATCAATATATTTAACTGCGGTGTGTTAGGTATGACTTATATCTAGGGAGTTGGAATTTCTTGTGAAGAGGTGTGTCTCCTGGTGAAAATGAGTGTCTCTTGAAATAAAAGAGGTTGGGGGGAGCGAGGGCGTGATTGTAATTTTATCTGTGGGTTTGTATATGTTTATATATATCTGTAATCCTATGGGATGATAATTGTAACTTCTCTGAAAGAGTGAAACTGCCGCTCGCTCCCGAGGACGTAGGCAATTCTTTACCGAACCTCGTTAAAACTCTGTATTCTTCTTCTGGTCTGTGTCGATTCCTGTTTTATTCTGCTTCAATTTTCATAACACGGTGCTCCCAGAAAATTATGATTTAACTTTTTTAAATAAAAAAATATTTATATTCGTCGCAATAATTTTTTGAACAGATAAAACTACTTTACAGTCATTTCTTCAAACAATTACAATAGCTCGAAATAAACTCTAAAGAATAAAACTTACTTTTCTTAGAATTACTGGCAATGATAATCAGCCATCATGTTTGGTCTCGCAACTAAATTGGTCCAATTCTAATTACAAGTGAAAACAAGTTTAATAACTGCCATTACATTATACAGTTTTTAAGCAGTTTTTAATTAGCTACTGTGATGCACAGCAGTCAAAAAAGGGAATTAAAATCAATGAAGCAAGTTTTGTGTTCTTAAACATATTGTCTCTTTATAGGTGATATTTGGTAATATATTATTTATAGAATTTAATCATAGTTTAACTTAAATCCAATAAATAAATATAACACTCCATTGAATCCTATTTTATCATGTTCCGTCTTTTCTCTTGCTGCGTTCCTTCATTTTAAAGAGTAAATTTGATTGCTAGGCTGATTTTTCTGACTTGCTGCGTTCCTTCATTTTAAAGAGTAAATTTGATTTTAATAAATTTGATTGCTAGGCTGATTTTTCTGACATCGCTCGTGCGCTCATCCATCATAAAATCGATCTGATAAATCAAATTTATTGGATTTGATAAATCCTACTTAACGTAAAACTAAGCTGCACCGCCTATGAAAATACACTATAAGTTAGTTTAGAAGATTTCAAAATCATCAAACATGGAGATTAAATCAATAACCAGAGAAATGTTATTTGGATGAATTAATTTTAACATTTTGTTATTCGATTGATTCTATGCTTGAGCTTTTTCTCTAGAATCAATTGGTTGGTTGTGTATAAATCTAAATTTATCAAATCCAAAATAATGTTCGGTTCAATTCAAGATCAAATACATCATATTCATTTATGGTGTTTGGCATAAATCCACTCCTGTGATTTTCTTTCAAAGCTAAATCTGCTAAATCCACGGTATAAACAAATTTAAAAATTTGGGATTTACGTTAACAAAGTAACAGAAGAGAAGGATAATTGGCCATAATCTCACTAATATATCTACACTAAGAACTCCATAATCACACAAATCAATTGTCCAAGTTATCCACTAATTAAACTTCCACGTCAATAAATTAAAAGGAAAGAGTTGTAGGAGCTTACATAAAGAATCACCGACGTGGAAATGCTTGTTTTCTGGCCATGAGTAGAGATCTGCGCTTGTGTCCCAGCCAGCCAAGTCACCGACAGTGTATGTGGTGGCCTCGCAGGCCAAGACCAGAAGGCCAACAATGGCGAAACCTGAGAGCACGAGCAACCTGCACGCCATTAATGGAGATTCAATGCTTCTCTCAACATATAGATTTTCTATGCCTCTCAAGATATAATCATATAAATATATATGTACGTGGAGCTTTGGGCGCAATTAGTTAACCTACTTAGTACTTAAAACCAGGAGAAGTTTTTATTTTTTTTATTTGAAGATTTGCATTGTAACACTTAATTTCTATGTATTTACAAATCAAAAGCTTAAATTTTATTTTTTACATATATATGTGTTAGAAACGGTGGAGCCCGGTCCACTATGCTTGGGCGGTTACTTTGCTTTGGAGAGTCACACCTCTTCAAAAATAATTACTCCCCCCGCCTTCCTCTTTTGTCTTTTGTCAAGTGAAGCATCTCTTCGCTCCCTCTTGTTCGTGATAAAAGTTTCGGATGACTCTCCTTGGATTTAGTAGTCACGTTTTGAGTTCTTCTTCGGTTTCCTCGGAATAGAGGAAGATTTCCTCAGAGCAGAGGAGGAGAAGTGCAAGGAGGAGCAGTTCCTTGCGGCAGAAGAGTAAGAAGGAAGAATAGAAGGAAGAATAAAGAAGAAGAAGATTGTTCTCCCTAGGATTCTTCTTGGGGGCTTGTGGCAGAAGAGAAATTTAGTTTATTTCTCTTGTAAGTTTGTCTTCTTCGGTGTATCTCGGTGTAGAGTTTCTTCTGTGTATTTCGATGTAGAGAGAAAATAACAGAGAGAGAAGAAGAGAGAGTAATGAAGTGAGGGTGAGAGATTCATCTTAGAAGTCAAGATGATCGACTGGTGTAAATTCCTTAAGTAGTAAAATCCTCTGCAACTTCGTGGACGTAAGCAATTTGCCGAACCACATATATCTGTGTGCTCTATTCTTGTGTGAATTTTTCTCGTTCTATTTTTCGCTTCATCGATTGTTCTCCTGTTTGATTTATATATATACCACATCAACTGGTATATCTATAGATCTCGCAACAACAACAATTGGTATCAAAGCGTGGTTTCAGATCTGAGGAAGAATGATGGTTGTAGATGAAGTGAAGGTTTGTTTTGATGGCAAGTTTGATGGCACAGATTTTGGTTATTGGAAAATGCAGATAGAGGATTATCATTATGGGAAGAAACTTCATCTTCCGTTATTGGGGAAAATATCTAAAAAGATGGATGAGGCTAAATGGAATTTGTTGGATTGACAAGTTCTGGGGGTTATTAGATTGAACCTATCGAGGTTTGTTGCACACATCGTCGTAAAGAAAAGGACGACTGCAGATCTCATGACAGTCTTATCAGGTATGTATGAAAAGTCATCGACGAATAACAAGGTGCACTTGATGAATAAGTTATTTAATTTGAAGATGGCGGAAGATGTTTCTGTTGCTCAACACCCGAATGATTTCAATACTATCACAAATCAATTGTCTTCTGTGTAAATTGATTTTGATGATGAGATATGTGCATCGATCTTGTTGGCTTCATTGCCAGATAGTTAGGAAGCAATGAGGATAGCAGTTAGCAGTTCTGTAGGTAAATCTAAACTGAAATACGATGATATTCGTGATTTGATTTTGGCTGAGGAAATTCGTATGAAAGATTCTGGTGAGGTCTCAGGTTCGAGTTCGACATTGAATGTTGATTTCAGAGGGAGATTGCATGATATGAACTCAAGTATAGGGAGATCAAAATCAAAGTTTAGTAAGCATGCAACTTGTTGGAATTGTGGTAAGGTTGGCCACATAAAGAAGAACTGCAAAAATCCTAGGAAGACGAAGAATGATAGCACAAATGTGGTATCTAAAGAATCACAAGATGCACTATTTTTGGCATTTCATAGTTCTGTTGAAGACTTGTAATTGGATTCAAGGGCTTTGAATGTGGTAGGAATCTATTAGAGGCCACAGTGCAGGGCAGTGATAGAAGTGAAGAGGAAAGTGGGTCTGGGGCACCTATTCCTATTGTTCCACAGACAGATGTTGAAGAACCACAGAGCTATGAAAAAATCTTACGAGATAAAAGTTCGAGCAAGTGGGAGCTGGCAGAACTTCCACTAGGGAAGAAAGCATCGCACAACTAGTGGGTGTACCAGGTGAAGACTGAGTGTGATGTCAGCAAGAGTTATAAGGCTAGACGTGTTGAAAAAGTCTTTCAGCAGAGACAGGTTGTTACGAGTGACCAAGAAAATAGTTTGGGGGTGCAAAGCTATGTGAAACCTGCCGATATGTTAACTGAGAGTGTTACTCTTGAGAAACTAAAGTTGTGCACAGCTTCATTTAGTCTTCTGAAGTGAAGACAGTGACTTTGAGTTGCAGAGGTGGAGGGTTCAAGGTGGAGGATACATGTTGAAGAAAAAGGTGACACCGCTGGAGGATAGCAGTTTGAGGAAGGAGATGTTGTAGCTTGTGTACCAGTCTCTAGGTGGGAGAATTGTTAGAAACGGTGGAGCCCGGTCCACTACGCTTGGGCGATTACTTTGCTTTGAAAATTCACACCTCTTCACAAATAACCACTCTCACTTTCCTCTTTTGTGAAGTGAAACATCTCTTCGCTCCCTCCTGTTCGTGATAAAAGTTTCGGAAGACTCTCATTGGGTTTAGTAGTCACACTTTGAATTCTTCTTTCTTCGGTTTCCTTGGGATTCGGGATAAAGGAAGGTTTCCTTGGGGCAGAGGAAGAGAAGTGCAAGTGATAGTTCCTTGAAGGAAGAAAAAAGAAGAAGAAGAAGATTGTTCTTCTTAGGCTTCTTCTTGGTGACTTGTGGCATAAGAGAAATTGAATTTTTTTCTCTTGTAAGTTTGTCTTCTTCGGTGTATCTCGGTGTAGAGAGAGAAGAACAGAGAGCAACGAAGTGAGAGTGAGAGATTCCTCTTGTAAGTCGAGATGATCGACTGGTGTAAATTCCTCAAGTAGTAAAATCCTCTGCAACTCTGTGGACGTAAGCAATTTGCAGAACCACGTATATATGTGTGTTCTTTTTTGGCGTGATTTTTTTCGTTCTATTTTTTGCTTCGTCGATTTTTTCTCTGTTTGATTTATATATATACCACATCAACTGGTAGAACTCGCAACAACAACAATATACCACCTTACTAATGCATGAAAGATGTATTTCACTTTTTAGAAACTAAAGTAGTCGTAATTTTTTATGTGATATTTTTGAATTGGAATAAACTTAGAGTCATGTATCGTCTGTGAGTACATTCAACTTGCCAAAGACCCGATATTTTAGGAAAAGTACTATAAGGAGAGAGAGGGAGGGAAGAGAATCCTGGAGGAAAAACTGGAGGAAAATGTAATAATTTTTTACATTTGATCAACCGAATGGTTCCATCACTCGTAGGAAAACTATTTATAGCCCTTCAGAAAGAGAGAGGGCTGAAGAATGCGAAGGGAGAACCTCCCTCTTTCATCTTATGGGCTGCCCTTTTAGAAATGAGATAAAAAATGACATAAAATTATCAAAGTAAGACATCAATGATTAAATTGTTGACTTTATCTAACCGGCATTGTAACTATGAGGTAGTATCAGCTAATGTTAGATATCGCCAGTATGGCGATCATCCTTGATGTTTGGGCAATGAGACTGACTCCTCAGGATCAAGCAACAACTCTAAATGAAAAACTGATGTATATTTCGGTCGGTCCTAATAGCTTTCTCAAATAGTTACCTTCACAGAGATAAGAGTAAGCGGTCTCCTTAGGGAAGATGGTGATAAGTTGGATCGATCACTTCGACATATGAGTTTGATTTAGCCACTTTGACAGGTGAACTCAATTTAACCACTTCAGCAGGTAGGCTGAATTCAGTCACTTTGACATGTGGGTTCGATTCAACAATACAAAAATCAATTAAAATTGTCATATATATGTATTTGTGATACAGATATGAGATATTTGGGTGTTATGGATGTAAAAAATAAATCTTGTGGTAGCTAGATATGTAAATATGTTGTAATTAGGCGGTATGCATGCAAATGCCCCATTTTTATTTAATTTGAATGAGGAACATTTTTGGGCCCGGGTTTTACTGGGGTAGTAGCATTATGCGGGGACTGTTTTACAAGCAGTTGGAAAGTTGGTGAAAGGTTTTACAGATGTAACTTCGAAGGTTTGATTCTTGAGTTTGAAGAGTTAATTATCTTTAGTCAAACTTTATAAAATTGAAGTTCGGTTAACCATAAATTAATAATGGATTTGATATAGAAGAATTTGAGAGGAGCCTGAATGTATTGGACTGATTAATTATGCTTGATGAATCCTTAAACCGATATAATTAAGAAGTAATGCTCGAGTCTATTTTGAAGTTTTTAAGACTTATTTCCTATTTGAACGTGATTAGGAAAATGTGATTATAGTTTTGATAGTATATTATACAAAAAAAACTAAAAAATGATTTTGATGTTTGGCTAGAGCCTTGACGACAATTTTTAGTCACTCTAATAAAATATATTACCATTTAGTTTGATGATTATATATATTTGAGACAATGCGACCAGCTCAAGTTTTAGCCGTTGCGAACATTTTTTTCGATCTTGTTATCGGACATTATTCATGCAAAATTATTTCATATTCATAATATATTAATGTCAAAATAAAGTATCGATGCATGCTTGAAGATTCGTGACGGTGGATTAATGAATTTAGTGTTTTAGCATTACATGAAAATAGAATACACTCAGGGAATTAAAGAAAAATAAGCAGTAGAAGACAAGTCAATTTATTACATGGAAAACTAGGAAAATGGGAAAAAAAAAAAACATCTGACTTAGTTGAAATAATCTATTATGTAATTGTGATCACATGGGTCCACTTTTTTCTAATATTAGGAAAGATAGAGTAACAAAGTTGATACATAATAATAGTATTATAAAAAGTTGCAAAGGCCGTAGTTGATAACTATGAATGTAGTAGCCCACCAAAATTGTAGTAGATGTTGGTTGTAGTGCTAGCTATTTGTGTATGTCGTAATAGAATGTTGTGGCAGTTATTTGATATGTATATCATAATGGTGAGTTGTGATGACATATGTAGGCCGCAGATACAGGTGTTGGAAGTTGTACGAACTATCAGCTACATAGGTTGTTGTTGGCCACATATGTCATAGTGGCAATTGTGATGAAACCTGTAGGCGGTAAGGGCCAAAGTTGAGAGCTGCACGATCTATGAGTCATGTAGGTCGTAGTTGGTCACATTGATCGTACTTATAAGCTATGACGTCATCTGTAGACTGTATGAGTCAGAGTTGAGAGCTACACGAGCTATAAACTACGTAAGTCGTAGTTATTCATTTAGGTCGTAGTGGTGAGCTGTAAGAAGAGAGATTTAGGTGTTTGGAAAAAATCCATTGTGTTTGGAGTGCATTGTTACACCGTCTTTTGGAGGTGTTTCACTGTATATGAAGTGCATTATTCAATATGTCTCGTTACCATGCAATGTATGTCGGGATTGTGTAATGCACGTCGTGATTTCTCAAGGTATTTCATTGCAATGGGTATGAGGCAGTCGATGACGGCCAAAAATTGTCGGCGGACATTAGTAGGAGGCTCCAGAAAATTGAGATATTTGTCGAATATGTGGTTTGGAAGAGATGCTAGACTTTAGCTCCTCCTCCAAATTTTAGTCTTCTTCTAGCTCAAATTCTTCCCCTGTCACTCAAATAGAGGGGTACGACTTTATTTATAGTCTTGGAGAGGTCTCTCTATAAATAGAAAAAAAAAACTAGATCACTCCATCAAACAGTTTGGAGAGATTTCATCAATTGGACAATGTTCAATGAACATTTGAGTTCCTTAACTAGGTTAGCAATAAATGATTTTGGGCTTGTTGGATTCGTCTCATTGAGACGCTTGATTTGACTATAAGCTTGTCAAATTCATAATTCATTTTACTTTTAAATCATGCATTAAGAGCTTCTAAAATGTTTTGACGGATTGATATGAGCTTGATTTGACTTGGATTGAACAAATTTAGGTATCATTGAGTTAGTCTCGTCGACTAAAGTCAGTTGAAATTTGAGTTTTGGATGATTTTTAATCGAAATTTGAATATTTTTTACTTAAGAAGTTGTTTCAAGATTCGTCTCATATCTCAAGCTCCACATCAAATAATATAATTTTTGACGACGCATCAAGTACCTTCGGAAAAAATAAACTTCTAGATATCTTGCATAGTGCTCAACCGATAATCTCTTCACCATTACCCTTCAGTATTTTAAATTTTTTTCATGTTCTTGAGAAGGGTTGGTCAGGGCAAAAGACATCGATCGGAAAAATATATAATTAATTGTGCAGTGTCATACTTCATAATCAAGCATTCATTCATTTTAATTTCTTGTTCGCGTCAGAAGGTAGGAAGACTAACAATAAGATATTTCAAATTGCCTATATATTTCGGTTTTCTTAAAGAAAAAACAAAGGAATTTACCAAAACTAATTGGACTTCCCCAAAAGTCTATTCCGTCCTGATTCAAAAGATTAGTCAAGGTTAATTTTCATAATCATATAAATATATATGTTGACATTGACATAATTTGATCGAATTGGGTCAAGTGATGGCTCAAAAGGGTCTACCCGACTAATGATCAACTATAATCAACTTGCCTGTAGTTTGGTGAGCTAAATCCTAAAGAAGATTTTTGCGTCGTTGATTGGATCATGTAACTCAAACTCACACGTAAAACTAGCGCTTAAAGAGACATTGGGTCTGTTTTGACCGCTAATCAAATTGAGCTTACAATATTACTTCGAGGCATTTACATCAATACCACACAATTCTCATGTCTTTACTTAGCTACCACCTACACTTCATATTTACATCGAAACAAAATCAAGAACTCCTTTGGCCGAAAGTTAACATCTTGAGCTTTTAGTCGGATTGAAGCTTTACTCAGAATTATAAGATAATTATTTTTATAATATTATAACACTTTTTACTTATATAAAATAATTATGTGAATGATTATATAACAAATCAAAGTGATTTTTTCACCAAAAATATCATATAGTTAAGTATAGCATTCCTCATCCGAATTAAAATTTTAAATGAACTTAAAAATATCCCTTTAAATTATCGACCAATCAAAATAAAAGTGTTTGCCAAAATTTACCCAAAAAATGATGCATGGTTATTTGCATACGAAGTACACAAACTCTTATATATTTACATATATCACACCTAACCATTCATATTTGCCCATAATACTTAGGGTTCGTTTGGAGAAGCTTGTGCATTTCAGGATAAGCTGTTTATTCTGAAACGCGGCCGGCGGGCGGGCCGCGGGGGTCGACCCGCGGTCTGCGTCTAGTATAAAAACTCAAACGCAGTTTCGGATAAGCTGGCGAAACACGCGAACCAAACCATGCGGCGGCGGCGGCGTTTTCAGCGTTTTGAAAACGCCGCCCGCACTTATAAACTGCCCCAAACGGACCCTTAATTTTTTTTCATATCATACTTAGATTATTATTATTATTATTATTATTATTATTATTATTATTATAAAATGCATCTTTTCATGCATAAAATTTGACCACCCAAATACTATTATGTAAATAAATATGAGATATATAAATACACTTGACCACCCAAATACTATTATGTAAATAAATATGAAAAATTAAATATGAGATATATAAATACACAAGAATTGCATGCTAAATATGTAATTCTACCTAAAAGAATTTCCCGAAATAATCAATCATTCGTGAATGGCAGACATAAATTTACGTGTTTTTTTTAATTCGCACCAAAAAGCTTTTCAAAGGTGTAAATTTTTTATTCAAATAATAGCGCAATCATGTACGCCATTCTTAGGGGAAAAGCTTAAGGAGTCGCCTTAGAGAACTCCGGCGGAGACGTCGGCGGTGACGGCGGTGACGGAATTATGGCTGCGGTAACATTAGTCAAAACGTGGACTTGAAGCTTCATTCCTCCTAAACAGTGAGAGAGAACACTACAGATGAAGTACTTGTCTCCGGTGGCGTTGAGAGGAACGTAAGTGTTGCCATCAGTGCTCTTTAGCATAGCGTTTGAAGCGTTGCAGTTGCTGAAGCCATTTCTGTCTACTTGGTTGACGTCGTGGTAAGGGGAATATTGGAACACTGAGGCAAGAAGGAGCATTCTTTTTTTCAGAAGTTGTTTGTTCAGGTAAAAATTTCATTAACATGCTCATAAACTTTAATTAATTTATTTTAATACGAATGTAATAGAAATTTTAATTAATTATTGAAACATTATCCAGGATTTTCTCATTAGCATCATAGAAGAAAATAAATAAAGACTGTGGCAATCAATGAAACACATTATTATTTAAAATTGGATTTAACTGAGTGTATCTTTGGTTAATTTTCAAAAAAAAAAAAAAAAGAAAAAAAAAAGAACATGCATCACTTAATTACTTGTATTTGTAATGTGAAGTTAATAATTATTTTTGTATACAGAAAAATGATCTGCACGAAAATTGAGTATATCCATCGGTCTAAATAAGAATTCAAATACTCTTTGTTCTTCTCTAGTATAACAATATATAATTTGTATATCTTTGTGTCTCTTCTATCTTCTATAAATACGAGGGCTTTATGGTGAATGAAAGGGATTTGGCTCTTCCCCACCTTGTAATGCATTTCTCTTATGAAATAAAATAGGTAGTAGAGGCCGAGAACAAAGAACACCTCATTTCCCACGCCGACAGAAATCTCTCATCTCTTCTTTTCTCCCTCTTTCAAGCCCCTTGTGTCAGTCAAACACTACATTCCTTGGGCACGGTCAACCAGACAGATTTTTATTCAAAAATTTTCAAAAATTGCCCTAAATACTCTTAATTAGCCTGACAGAATTGTGCAGCACCTAAAAATATTATTATTACAAAATTTTGGATTCAAAAAATTAATAGTCTTGTTAGCAATATTATTTGATAAATATTATATACGTGTTTCTTTATCATTTTATCCATCTGATAGCTATATATATTAACAACATTTTCAAATCTCGAAAGCCACTTAGCTTCAACAAAAAAAAAATACTATTAATTTAAAATTCTCTTTAATCAGATTGCTAACATTTACCAAATACTAAGTATTGGAGTAAAAAACAAATTTAAATGGAAATTATAAAATAGTTTATAATGTTGGAAGATGTAAATTAGACATTAACGATGGCAAACATCAAATACCATAAACGTGCTAGTGCTGATCTATCACATATGTATATGTAAAATGGTATTAAAAATATATAGTTCTTCTTAAAATATAAATTTAACTACTCGGAAACTAAATCCAAATCTTAACCTGCCTCAAAATGTAAAATGGGAGAGATAAAAAGCTTACATAAAACATCACCAATGTAGAAAAGCTTCGTCGCCGGCCATGAATAGAGATCTGCACTAATGTCCCACCCGGCCAAGTCACCGACGGTGTATGTAGCAGCCTTGCAAGCAGACACCAGAAGGCCAAGAATGGCGAGCCCTGAGAGCACATGAAACCTGCACGCCATTAATGGAGATTGAAAGCTCCCTCCGGAGACAGATTTAGAAAGGTAAGCCAAAGTATATATGTTAGTCGAATGATAGACCTTTTTTGGGACTGTGTTTTTGGGAAGTAGCATTATGCGAGGAGAATGTTTGTATTGAAGAAGGTGAAGAGTCAGTTGGAAGTTTAAGAGGTAAACTATGAAGATTTCATCACTGGTTTTGATGCATTAAAATATTGGCTGTCGGGCTTCTTAATTGAGAGGAAATTAGTAATTACAGTCAGATTTTACAATAGCGCAGTTTGGTTACCCACCTTCCCAAAGAAAAAAAGTTCGGTTACCAATGCATTAACAACGGAAATACAAAATAAAATAGAATTTCATATTATTTAATATAAATTTTATGTACAATAATGTTGTGCACTATTATATGAGATGTTAAAATAAAATTCAACATTAACAACTCTGTATGCATACAGTCTTCGTATGTAATAATTTTTCTTGTCTACATGAGTATTGAGATGAAATATATTTAATATTTCATATAAAAAGTGATTTAATATTAATTCATCTTTTTTATTTAGAATTTTAATACACATAGTATCCTAAACATATCAATTTACATAAGTTAGATTATATATATTACTATATAATGTCTTGAAATTATGGCAAAAAAAATGCAAGAATCAAGAACTGAATAATAAAGAACGAACAGAGGGATTTAGAGTCTTTTTGGCGCAGCTGCCTGCCTTCTGCACGACACCGCCCTACGATTATTTCACGTTGGGCGGCATCTCGTCCAGCGGCGGCCGTGAACGTGGGGGCGGCATCTCGGCCAGCGGCGGCCGTGAATCAGACGGAAAGTCAAATGCAGTCACAGACCCGTGGCCCAGCTTCGTTGTGTATGCATTAAATTGGTTTTACGTTTGTGCCCTCAACTGTACCCTAAACACGAGCACAACTTCCCCTTTCCGAATCTCCTCAACTCCCGAATATTTCCCACCTTCTTCTCTTCTTGCCAACCCTGATCTTCCTCTTCCCGAGATTTGCTCCCCTGTGTTCTCTTCTCTGAAGGGTTTCCAGGCCTTCATCGTGTCGTCTACCCCAAACGCAGCCCGGCTTCGTCCAAGCAGCGATAATTTTTTTCCCCCTTTCAATGCTTCGGATTTGATTAATCTTCACATTTAGATTCTCATTTAAGGCAATGCTTCGGATCTTCCTACTACCACTGTCACTATTGGAGTTTTAAAATTAGTTTACTGTTTGCAAACTTATAAGAATTGTGTGCTATGTATTTTTGTTTTTTTTTTTGTTCCACAGAGTACCAATTTTATAATGCTTATGAACTAGGATTTGTACTGTTATAACTGCAAACTAAATTTTTCAGTACTAAAATAGGCCAACAACATGTTTTAACAAAGAAGAGTATCAAAATATTACAAAAAAGTTCAAGGAACTTACAGACAAAGAGTACAATACGATGCAATTGAAAAACAAATGGGATCAACGTAAGAAATATTAGAAAATATGGAAGGAATTGAAATGAGACTCAACAGGATTGGGGTGGAATTCGGTGAAGCGAACAATAGATGCACCCGAGGAGTGGTAGGTTGAAAGACTTATGGTGAGCATTGTTCAAAACTTTTATTAATTATTTACATTTTAACTTTTTACTAATTTTTTTCTTTCTAAATTATGTTTAGGTGGTGCCCGTTGCAAAGAAATATAAGATTTATGGAATTAAGCTTGAATTGGAGGACAAGCTTTACCTCATGTTTGGGGGGTGGTTGCAATGAGGAACTATGCATGTTGTCCAAACGAGACAGGGTTTGCTGTCAATCCCGTGGATCTAGGAACCCCCGAAGGTTCACATGATCCCGCTAAAGTCCTCATTCTGGAGCAGAACAAATATGATTCCACTCCCCGTGCCAAGCTTCCAAGGGTAGAAATAGAAAAAAATATGGTTATGGTTTTATTAAAAATCAAATCTCCGAGCTGGTGTCCGCTTACAAAGCATAATCACGGTCTTCTTATTCAACCACTATTGAGGAGGCACTTGAAATCCTTTATTCTTAAAGTGAAATAAATGAGGAAGAAACGTTGTAACTATTTGCAACAGAGTTGATAGAGGACCCCGTCCATAGAGATAATTTTGTGAAGATTTCTGCCGCCCGCAGAGTGTCGTATCTCTGATGTTTTTATGATCGTCTTAATATTTGAGTTTTTTTTCAATGTCATCGCAAAAACATTTCTAACAAGTTATGTTTCGTTTAATTTTCTAGGATTGTACTTGTAAACTCTTTAGTTTTAGTTTTTCAGTTATTATGCATATTTTATCAGAATAGCATTTTTAATTATATGTAGATGTTTCATTTTTTTTATTTCTGAGACTTTTGTATTTTATTAGCTCATCAGAGTGTTGGGTTTAGAGTGCAACATACGATACAACATCGAAGCAAGTAGAAGAAGACATTTATCAGTCAACATGGAATGCTAGTACCAATTTACCACATCCACCTGCAGGTTCGCTCGAGTGCGAGCTAATTTAATATTTAACATTATGCTTCCTTTTAATAACACTTTTTATCAGACAAATATTACTTGGTCGATGCTGGATATCCATTGCAACGAGGGTACCTAAAGTCATTTGCTGCCACAAGGTATCATATCGGACTTTGAACGTGCAAGTAACTTTACACAAGACAGAAAAAAATGTTTAATAAACGTCATTCAACATTACGTGGTGTCATTGAGAGAACATTTGGTGTGTGGAAAAAGAAATGGGTGATACTGCGTAATATGCATCCTTATAAGTTCTCCAAGTATGTGCACGTTGTGTTTGCTATGATGGCTCCACACAATTACATTTGAAGAGATCATTCCCATTGTGACATCAACTTCTGTTCGGTAGATGAGGATCAAGAACACGTACCTGCGGAAGCATTTGAGTACCGTCTAGGACATTCTTTGTCAGAACAGGACGATGAGACTTCGACCATTTGTACTACAAACGGGGAATGTGCAAACGAGATGACAGTGTTAAGAGAACAGATTATATATGAGATAATATGGGGAACAGGACAATAGCCTGAACATTGAGGAAAAATTACGTTGTCATTGTATTGTTTGTGATAAGATGGGTGTAATTTGAAATCATTTAGTTTATGCTTTGAAACCATTACTTTCTCTTAAGATTTGTTCATAGTGTTATTTATGTGATGTTTGTTAAATTCATTTAAGCAAAAGTTCATTACGCCATGGTTATAATCTGCTTGAAGAAAGTCTTTAGGCTGCTGGTTATTTTGTTAATCATTGAATGGAGAAAGTGTTCTGCATAGATACATTCATATACATGATTTTATTTTATGGCAATTGTGAATTCTATACAAGATTTACAAATCTACAATTGTATTTGGGGCATTTACATACAAGGTGACCTTTCTTTTGCTATTCTTTTCTACAGAAGTGAGTTTAGTCCCAAGTATTCTTGGCAACCAAGAACCTACGACCTTCTTATGAGGGCAGATTGTTCATCTCTTTATGTTTAATTTTGAACCCTGAGTTTTTCTTTTATAAACATCCACCATCTTAAACTTTGGTTTGAATCTTTTATTATATTTTTCAAATTATTTTCTTTAATGTGTTGGTAATTCCGGTTATCGCAAGTAATCTCTTTTAATTTGAAATAATTTTCTTTAATATGCTTAGCAAGTTCTTCACAGAGACTCCTTGATGGAACTTGCTCTCACCTCAGCTTTATCAGCCGAAAGCTTGGCTGATCACCCTCCTGAAAAAGTGCTCCACTTGTTAATTTGCTTGACATTGGTTTATGTCATCTGTAGAACTAAAAATGTGAGGCTTTTTTTTTCTAACACTAGCATTTTCAAGATCGGTTTGGCACTCAGGTTTACACAGTTACTGGATCATAAAAACAGATGGTGAAAATATAAGAAGAAATGGCTTCAAAACGTGCCCAGTTTTCTATGAATTGAAAAAAAGTGGTTTCAAAATGCTGATTATATGGCATTTTGTTTTTATATTTTTTGGAGGGCCTAGATTCTCTGAAGCTTTGTGATGTTTTAATGGTTTTGTACCTTTTTGGTTCTTGGCAATGATGTGAATTCTTGATCTTTGATTTCAAAATGCTACCAACATATGGGTTTGTTTAATCTAACATCGTGTGATTATGTTGCTGCCAGAAGGCATAATTTGATGGATTACTATATTGAGTTGTAACCCAACTTTTAGATTAAAACACTTTTTAGTCCCGATGACTTGGAATTGAATTGATGCCTTTTTGGGGTTTTTTTGTGCTTTGCTTTAATTGCATATCTTTTTTTTTGGTAGCACTACGTCTAATGTTATTGCTAGATGGGTTCTTTATACTGTTTGTATTCTATGCTCTATATATGGGAGCTGAAACAGGAGCATTTACGTACTTAACACCTAAATTGGAGGTGAATCTTTAAACTTTTCTTATATGGGAGCTAAATCTTGTAATGAGAACTAAGGTGCGGTGGGATTTAAAAAGGTTATTTTTGTTATATGGGATCTGAAACAGGAGTATTTACATACATACCACTACAATGAACATCTGATTCTTCCCTTGTTTTTCTTGAAAATTAATTCCTCGGTTGCAATGCTTCCCTCTATTGTAGTTGGTTTATGTATGCAACTACATGATCCCGTTTCTATGTTACGTGATGTTATATATTTTTAGTTCCTCCTCATTTTCAGATAGATATTTTCAACACAAATCAATTTTTGGACTGATTTGACATGCAGATTTTCTTTTCTACTCAAAGTTAGCTGATTGGTCATATTCAATTTTGGTGTTCTTGCTTCTGCTTGCACAATTTGATGTTTTATATTCAGTAGACTGTCGGTGCAATGTGGCTATATTAATCTTTTTGCACTGTATATTCAACTTTGTTTCTTGATCTTCATTGAGGGAAGTGAAGATGAATCATCAATTGATTTTGACATAAATATGAATATTTACCTCATATAAAGTCAAGATTTATACTTGTATTGATGGTATATCTCAATCTCCTAAACTTTGTAAATGTTCTCATTTGAATGTATATATCTGTCGTACTAA